AGCTGGTGATACAGGAAGACAACTGTTGCCAGAAGGAAAAGATTCTATTTAGGGGGAAGATTCTTGGGTTGGGTCCTGTGCTTGCGAATGAGGGTAGGCATCATAGTGGAAGATCTCAGAGTAGGGTCAAATCTAGAATGGCAAATAACTTCAAATCTGAGTCAGTGAGGTTGGAAAGAAAGCCTAGAGACATTCCCAGGAGGAAACCACAGCTAAGACCAGGGTTAGAATAAAAATGGGTGGAAAAGTGACAAGTTGATGATGAGACCAAAGGAGCAAGGTCAAGGCCAAGAAGAGTGGTTCAGTATCAAACTATGTGTGGTGCATCTGTTGGAACTCCTTTTATCATCCTAGTTGCATTCTGCAAAGTCCAGAGTTATGAGTTCAGGTAGACTCATGAAGCTGTGCATCCTAAAAATCAGGATTCATATTTCTATTGAAGCTCTGCCTCTCCTTTGCATTGTGACCTTGGGCAGCAGCTTTCATTATTCACTTGGTAAATGATTGTAATAACTGACTGAAAGGCAATTATTTGATTTCAGGTGCTGTTGAGATTTAAAAAAAAAAACACACAAATAAGCCATAGACTCTACCCTCAAAATGTTTTTCTAATATATTAAATTTAAAAAAATGCTATGCCTTATGACAACTCTGATCTTCTTTTCATCCATGAAAATTATGGTTCATATTGCTTTCAATGTAGGTTTTGATTTGTTTATTGCATTTTTATTTGTTTTATGTCTTTGTCATTTCTTGTCCCTCTCACTGTGTTGTCTTTTCATCTTAACTCAACTTTTCCTGTAAGTTTATGCCCTACCCTATTTTAGAGAGCTATGCCTTTTAAAAAAACCTCTAGAATATACCAAGAAGTTCTCCAATATTTTCTTTTGTTTTCGGTAATAAGTTTCAAGAGAACTTTTTGTAAGTGTTTTAAATGGTATTTCTTTCTTCTTTGTATGCAATGCGTTTCCCTGTGGGGCTCACTTTATTATTTTTTAAAATCCACCCCAATTAGGAGCTAGGCCTATTCAGTATTTCCCAGAACACAAGACACATGATTCACTCTCAGCCCCATTCACTGTACACTTGATTTGCTTCTTTGGATCTCCAACTAGATGCCAGTGACCAGAGTGCAGTGGTTTTTTATCTGTGTAGCTTTATAGGACTGAGGAAGGTCACTGTTGACTGACTTCCTAACCTTAGAACAATCCTTCTTCCAAATTCACAGAGCTGTCAAGGCTTTTCCTGTGTCTGCCCCAGAAGCAGAGATTTTTGCAGGAGGCTTAGAATGCAAGTCCTTGCCGTTGATTGTGACTCACACTTCCGGCCCTTTGGCAGCTTTCAAACAGATTGAACTGAAAGGAAGATAGGGAATGTTTCAAGTTGTGGGGGGAATCTAGGAAATTAAATTCACTGTCTGCTTCTAAAAATCAATACAAAACAAAACAATACAACATAACCAAGGGCAGTAGAGAAGAAGGGTAACTGTCCTGTTTTTAGGCTTAAAACAGCTGTGTGCTTGCAGCTAGGGAGCAGAAGGTGGAGAGAGACTTTGTTCCTATGTCCTATAGCATGTCTATCAATCAAGCTGAATAGTCTTCCAGATTCTCAAAGATCTTCCCAGATTCTTTTTGGGAATCTCAAACCTAGTTTGCCTAGTTGAGTATCATTCTAATTTTCAAACCCTCCATAAGTTTATGACACTTTTACTTCTTCACTGGTATTTTCAAGTGAAGAGAAAAGCTATGTCAGCTCACCAGAGAGGTACCCTTTAAAAAAACAAAACAAAAAAAACAAAAAACCAACAACAACAAAGTGAGACATTGGCTGAGCCATTCCTTTGGCTTGCCCACATGTCCATGTTGCAAGGCCCTCACTATGGAATGATGATGGACACACCCACTCATACATGTACAGTAATGATTTTGTACATTTTCATGTGAACTTAGGACAGATATTTTTCTTCTTTCCATTTTATGAGCTTAGTATAGACTTGTACATATTAGGTATTCACTAAAAAGTGAATGGATGGATGTTTAACAAAGATTTGGGGAGAGTCAATGGATGAAAGAATAATGAACTGGGAGGGTATGATGCTGCGGAAGCCGAAGAGCCCAGGGACTCCAGAGTGTCTCTGGGAACACACTTTCTTTCATTTTTCCCCAAGAAAAAATATGCTAACTGTAATTTATCATGGGTTAAACAAATGAGGAGCCAAATTGTGGCTATTCATACATTCATGCTCTCTCTCCCTCTAGGATACTGTACATACCATGTTTCCTTGGCCCCTGAATCCTCTTCCCTCCTTCACTCAGGGTTAACCTTGCTTCCTATAAGAAGACTTTCCTGACCATGAACACCAGATTTAATCTTCTTCCATGCATCTACAGAGCCCAGACAGTGAGTGATACCAGGAACTTGACCCCATCTTCCCACTACCTGTTTGTCCCCCAAATGTTCCTGAGTGCTGTAAGTCTAGTTACTTTTATATCTCCCACCAACTATAATAGGGCCTGCATTTGTTTGATGGACAAAGATATTCTCAAGTATGACAAGATGGGAACTTAATTTACTTGGATATTAATATTAGTACTAACCACTTATATAAACAGCATGAATCAGTAGCTATCAAATCCATTTGGTATTAATAAATTGTTCATATGTTTATTTTTTCTAGAGCCATAATGGCCTCTTTATTCTCTCCATGTTGACAATAAATTATCATTAAGCACTTACTATGTGCCTAGAGAAATGACTCAGGAGCCAAAAGAAGAAACTGTATATGGTTCTTCCCTCCTGGGGTTATTCTGACAATTCTAGTTGCTCTCAGTGTTTCATGGAGTACTTCCTAACCCCTTTAAACCTGTGCAATGAGTATAGAAATTATACCTTATTTTATCTGCAACAGAGCTTGGCACACTGCAGACATCCAGTAAATATTTATTGAATGAGCCCTGAAGACAGGACTGGCAGAAAGATATAACATATGATAACAGAGAGGTTCTAGCATATAATTTGTAATAACATTATAGGTTTTGCCAAAAGAATATGATTATAGAAAAGTTTTGAAGGGGGGTGGTATTTCAATGTTGTTCAAAATTGGATTGAAGGGAAGATTTTGGGAAAAGCTTTAGCCCAGAATTGCCTTCCTTCTATCATATCTAGGTCACCTTCTTCTAGTGTTGTGATGCAGCCTGGCTTAAAGATAGCTACTGCAGGGTGAGCCTAACCCAAGGATAGTTATAGAGGGAAATCGCTGCTAAGAACATCAGGAGACATGTGAGATATATTTGTAAGGCAATATAACTTCTTTTCAAAGTAAACATTCCAAGATTTCTAGATATAATTGGCCATATGTCCCAATGCAAGAAGTCCCTCTTGGCAGTATATATTTATTCTAATGAGACAAACATTCCTGGAAATACTCTGACTCCTGTGGAATTTCACTTTGCATTGGGTCAACTTCATTAGAATACCCTTAAAATGCTAATTCTTAGGTCTCTGGATGTCATGCTTGGTTTTCAGAAACACTCAAAAGCTACTGGGAAACTTGGTGCCTGACACTCTGGGTACTAAGTCTGGGTACAATGGATGTTGGCAAGGGCAGGCCCCCAGGCCAATGTCACTCCAGAGCCCTGATAATTTTATGTGCAACCCTTCTGATTTGGAGTCATACTAAGAACTGGTCAAGCTTCTTAACTTCTTTAACACTTTAAATGTTTATTTGTATTTGTTTTTTGATATTTGTCTCTAATTAAGGCATTATTTTTGTACTATATTAAACCATTCTTTCCCCATCCTCTGTTTGTAAGTGGAACTGGTCATAACTGAACCTGTTGCTACACAGCTATCTTTTTCTGCCTCCACTGGTCAATAAAGAGATCCAGTTTCTTTTGTGTTTTATGGGCATGCCTTATAGACTGGAGGCAAAAACTTCTGCCCTGTCCAGTTTTCTTTTCTCTTCACTATGTCTCACTTTTATTTATGGAAGTTGATCATGTAAACTAGGTTATGAAAATAAAGTTCAGATCTTCCTGTTGGCATCATAAAAGTATTTGAATAATCTCAGTGAAACTAACTACAAACTCACAGTATTGTGAAAGTTCCTGAAGCTAGCAATCATGATTCACGGGTCAGGCTGCCACTGTTTATCTGCCATGCATTGCTTTGACTTTCCACTTTAATTTCCCTTATACCTACTTCCAAACTTATTGGCACCTTCCTGGGTTTGACATTCATGGTTCTTACTTGGCCCCTGGGAACCAAAACTCAGCTCTGCTTCTCTAGCTTTAACCTGCCTCAACCATCCTTGAACATGATTCCTGATGGCCAGATGGTACCTGGCCACCTTATCCCACCTGGCCTCCAAGGTATTATCTCTCTGCTTTTTTAGGCAGTTGTGAGCTTATACACCAAGTTCATTCTGGACTGTCCAGAAGAGCTCAGAATCTCTATGCTGAAAGTGATCTTTATGACCAGTAAGGGCGAAATTTATTCTCCACCCTAAGTTATTAATTGTATTTATTTTTACCAAAGTTTAATCTAAAATCCTAAATATATTGGCATAGGCTCTGAAGAACCCTGACTCAAAGCCTAGGTGATGTGTAGCTGGGGCACACAAGACCATGGGTGGTAGCATTTACCACTGACTCACCAGGTGGCCTGGAGATGGAGATGGAAAACATGAATTTATGAAAATTACATGGGAACAACTTTCAGCCACTCCACAGACAAAGAGGCAGCAGTAGCTAAATGTAGGAAATACTACTCAGAGTATGTTCAAGGTTGGCTCGGGAACAATAAGAACTTTCAGCAGATCCTCCCAGGGAGCCCCAACAGAAACACATCTGCAAGGAACAGAAACACATCTGCAAGGAACCAGTGCACTCTTGGCCTATTCTGTTTCTCTTTCTTTTCTCTTTCTCCCTACTTTGATTCCTCCAAACTTTGTAGTTGTTTGGCCTGCCTTCACCTTGGTGCAAGGACTGGCTGTTACTTACCATGCCCTTTAGTGTCAGATCTGCTAAGGGAGACCGGTTGCCATGGAAATCTGGCCAAACATGCAGATCAACAGTGAGGAAACCCACAGGCTCAGTCTTCTTAATCAGATCCAGGTGACTATTCAAATATGCATATATACTCTGGCATCTGGAAGAGAAATGGATTTTGTTTTTAAAAGGGGGGGCAGGGTTGGAGAGCAAATTGCTCTGTAGAAAGAAACCGTTTGTACTTCCATATCAGACCCAGGAAAGTAAAGCAGATTCCCAAAACCTCTGAAAAGAAACTAACCTACCATGCTCTCAGATCACACTGTACTTTCATCAAGAAAGGGCAATCTTTCCTGGAGGCAAGCAGGAAGAGTTAGAATCAGAAGGCCAGATCTAGGAATGGTTTTACTTCTGATAGGTGTATAACCATGAGAAAGCTTTTCAGACCTTTGGAACTCATCTGTGAAAACAGATATCACAATCCCTGTCCAACTTACCTCATAGGGTTATTCTGAAGATCAAAGAAGATTATATATGCAAAGGCTGAATTCTGTAAACTCTACAATATGGTACATATGTAAAGGATTTATTAAAATCAGTCTTTGTAATTGTAATAATAATAATGATGAAATGACAAATGAACACAAATACATGTTCCTGGATTCAATATGGGAATTTGCTGAGAAAGTGACTGAAAGTCATGAATGCAGTTAGGATCAGGAGAAAGAGACCTGATCTCCAACTGTAACCATTAAATGACATGGTGAGAGTTCTTTCCCCTTTTTAAGCCTTGATTTCTTCATGAGGGAATCAGACCAACTCCCTCATTCTTCATACTTTCAGTTGAGAGGACAGCAGAGGAAAGACTATAGTCTTGGAAGTCAAGCCAGAGCTGGGTTTAGGTCTTGTTTCCTCTTGTCCTAGCTGGGAAGTAAGACTTGGCCTCACTGAACTGTAATTCCCCATTCACAAAAGAGGTATAAGGATCCCTCCCTCTCTGGGCTAAATCTTACTGCATGGCACAAGGATGAAAGCTGGCTAGCTGTGCCCTCTCCAGAGGGGCTGCCTTCCAAAGTGCTGAACCACTGATCCCACAAGAAAGTAGAAACATCAGTTTGGCATCTCTGCCACTTCCCACTGGTGTCCTTGAAACTATAGCTAAAAGGTTTAAAACCTGGCTTGAATAATGTCAGAAAAATGTATAGGAAATCAATGTCCAAAGGAGGTTAATATCTAAGACACTTCAGACAATATTTATGACTTGCATTTGTAAAATGTTTTAGAAGTAAGGCTCAGCGATTTCTAGTTCTAGTTTTGTGATATCAGGAGTCCCCATGGATCCCATGAAGTTCCTGTAAGTTTTCTAAACTAAGTGTAAGGAAACAAACTAATAGGTGGAGTCTTGCTTTTCAACCCCCCTCCCCGCTTTATCACTGAAACCAAATACGAAAAGCAAAACTGCCCCCCTGCGTGTGTACCAGTGGGTGTGTATCAACTCAAGAATATGTATGTATGATGTGTGCTGGGCGGAGGCAAAGGTAGCCCCACCTAATGCCAGTCTCTTTGCTTCTTGCTATAACACCTCTGCCTCCAAACACATCAGGAGGAGTGACATCTGACCAGGACAAGGCTCAACACCCACAGGGCAGCAGCTGCTGTTCCCTGAATCTGCACCAGGCCTTCCACCCATGGTCCAGGGAGGGAGGCATCACCAATCCCCCTCTATAGAGAGGACATTCAGAGAGGTGGAGAGACAGGACCAAATCCAAATGAAAATCTTTCTTGGTATGATTCTGAAGTCAAGTGCTTCCTGTATCTTAGGTCCAGAATTATTTGGCAAAGCCCCCCCCACACACACACACACTCAAGCCTTATTTTAAAATATGCCATTATGGTTTTAGGAAAGGATTCTTGAGGCAGGTGGGCCAGAGCAATATATGGAGGCAGAATATGATCACATCCTGGGTTTCCATCTCCCAGCTCCCAGGAACCACATTCACAACAGAAGACTGGGACATCCTTTCTAGGCAGAAGCCAAGTGTTTACCCTAACTCCAGCCACTTTCCATTTCAGAACAGTGTCAATGCTTTTAGAGTAAAGGGACTTTTATTTTATTTTTTTTTAAAGAAGCACATGTCTATAAATCTTTTCATTCTGCCTCTCAAGGAATCTCAGAGCAGGGCATCTGGTTTCAGACATCTGGGTCAATAAGAACCTATAGGCCTAATTACTATTGATTCGTCATTGTCTCATTTACTGTGGGCCTTTGCAAACAGTGAGATTCATTTAGCCTCTACATATATGGTCACTCACGCACTAATGAGATCCCGGGGGGATGGGGCATATGCTTACCCCTTTGACTCCTAACCTCCTCCCAGCTGTGTGTTTATTCTTTGGATTCAGCCATTCCCCTACATGTTTTTTCAATTATACCTTACCATGTGTGCTATCTGAGTATATCATTCAAAATGAAATGCACTTGGAAGACATTAAAATAACTAATGCACATCATTATTCACATAATTTTAACCTTGCATGATGCCTTTTTTGGTTCTGACTTTGTTTCATTTTGTATGTTTTATCAATTCCCTTTCAAATGGCAGTCTGCCCTTCTCCAACTAGGGAATCACATATTAATTGTGATCCCAATTGAATCGTTCTCCCTCCCTCTCATGAACTCCAGGCTCATATATCTGATCTCAGAGAGAGTTCTGTCTGTCCAAGTCCCACTGGGATAGGATGGAAAAAACACTTGCAACAACCAAGAAGTGACTTCATCATGTACCAGCTGGGTGAGCAGGCCCATCAACCTGAGTCTAGTTTACTCTTTTGCAGTTAGGCTAATACTCTCTATCTTTCAAGCTGCTAGGAAGATTAAATACAGAACACAGGCTTGATCGTCAGCAATGCAATAAATGAATAAGCAAACAAACAAACAAATAAAATAAATACAGAGCCCTCATCACTATAAAATGGCAGTGATTGAGAAATAGTTCACTTGCCTTTGTCATCACAAGACATACATCTTTAGATTTTAAAATACCCAAAAGTCAGGGAAGATTTTTTTTTTCATAATATGTTGCTTACTACCTTAAATGCAAACAGCACCCGTGGAATCTCTCGTCTGCTCTTCATTTCTACAAATCATTTAATTCTTTGAATTCACACACTGCCCAGAAGTATGGTGACCATACTCTCAACCCCCAAATCAGAATTCACGGTATAACAAAAGACATTTGCATTCTTTCCAGGAGTAAGAACAAGGTCTTGGAGAAGAAGCTCCCATACTGAAAGTCTCCAGTTTCTAACTTCTCAACCCAACACAATATACATTCTTCCAGTCCCCATTCTACTGAAACTCAACCCACCATAAAACTCCCAGGGATCATTTCTGCATTTTACATCACTTGACCACTTCTTCCTCATTTTGTTCTCTTCCTTTTATTTCCCAAACACTCTATTCTCTTGATTTTTCTACCTCTATTCTGGTCAGATCTCTTCCTATACTTGTCCCTTAAATATCTGAGCTCTTCCAGAGATCTGTCTGAATTCCCTTGGATGATACCATCCTTCTTTTAGAGCTCCAGTTACTATCCAGTACTGAGGACTTCCAAACATGTGTCCTTATATCCTGCTCATTATTCTCTGATGAGTTCCAGGTCAATTATCCAACCACCCATCAAATGCCTCTTCTTGGATATCCCAAGGCAACTCATCTAAAAATATTTAATCCCACACACATCATCTTTTCTGACATACTCCATCTTCCTACTGTGTTCCTTGGTTTAATCAAAGCCAATATCATTTAAGCAATTGTCCAAGCTACTGCTTGGCAGAGTCATGGCAGGCATCATTTCTGACTTATTTTTTCTCTCTCTGCTCCCCAATCTAATCTTTCACCAAGATTTGATTTCTCTTCTAAATATCCCTGTAACTAGCAAACTTTTCTCCAGCTTACCTGCTGCTACTTTACTAAGGCCACCTACACTTGGTCTCCAAGTTCATCTCCCAACCTGCAATCCTGCTCACTCCAATGAGGCTCTCTATACTCCTTCCTGGGTGATTCTCCTACAGCACAACACTGATGATTCCCAGCCCTGATTCAACCCTGCAGTGGCTCCTCCCCATTGTCCTCAGGACAAAGGACAGATTTCTTTACTGGCACAAGATGCTCTTCATGAGCCGGTTTTCCCCTCCTTTCACTGTCCTGTGCACATGTGCTCATTCCTCCCTGCTTGCTCCATGTTCCAACTGCACTTAGCTAACTTTCATTCTCACAACACGCACGCCTCAGCTTCTGAATGTTTGCCCACTCTGCCTCCTGTTGGTTAGAATCCCTTTCCTTGCCTTCTTTACCTGCCCTGTGTCAATCATCATTCTAGACTCATATGTGATGTCATCTTGAGTCATTTTTCCTGAGCCCTGGCTCCTTTCACTGCCTGTGCTCCCACAGCCACCTATGCTGCACATAGCCATCTCAGCTCCTTGCCTTTGCTCTTCAAGGCAACCTCAGAGGAGAGGAGGAGCCAGCCTGGCATTTCTGAGCACTCTCAGTTATGGACAGCCACCTGGCCTCATCACTTGTACTAGGGGTTGGGCAATAACACTCCTGTCTCTGGGTTGGGAATAAGGAGACATTTTTTTTTTTAGGATACATGAATATTTAATACCTTTATCCAAGTAAAAATGTTCTCCCACTTATCAGCTATTAATTCAATAATTCTCCATTTTGTTTTTACATTCTCCAGAATTTTACTGGGAACTTTTTTCTTCTCTGGGAAACATTACCCAAATGTTTTCATCCCACTCTTCATCCCCCTGAAGAAACTTTTGGGTTACTTTTGGAAATAATTTAAAAATTTTTCCCTGCTATCTTTTTAACAGTTATTTTTACTTAGCTATTTATTTTAGATATACATGACACTAGAGTATAATTTGACATATTATATATACATGGAGTATAACTTTCTAATTAGGATACCATTCTTATATTTGTACATGACGTGGTCTTTCACAGGTCTTTTGTCCATATATGAACATAGGAAAGTTATGTCCTGTTCATTCTACTATCTTTTCTGTTCCCATTCCTGCTCCCTTCCCTTCATTCCCCTTTGTCTTATCCAATGAAACTTTTATCCCTCCCCACCCTTATTGTATGCT